AATTAACAGGGTTTTTTTTATTATGATGGTCTTAATGATTTGTTAGCTGTAACCTTTAAGCTGTAGTAGGTCCGTTAAAAATGCATTGCAAAAATTTTATAGTAGCCCAGAAAATAATTTCTATTCAAAGCAGAGGTGTAAGTGAAAGTTGTGCAGATTTTTTAAAATTTATTTTCTTGTTGATTTGAATGTTTTTTACTGAATTATTGAGGAAAAGTAACGATTGATATTTTACAAAATAAATGCCTATAACCTCACTGAAACCGGATGTATTTGTTGGAAATCTCACGATGGTTCTAAAGAAGTTAACTCCTAGAAACGTGTGTTTTTAGGCCGTTCTCATTCATTGGTATACCATTCCGCAATAACCAAATGTAAGAAATATCTGGACAAGGAAAAAGTTTGAAGGCTGGACAACTATTATGGATTCAAAGAATTCCGTTATTATCTCGTTAGAGAGGATACAAGATGACGAACTCCAGGTTGTATCAGTCGAATGACAGGAAGATTCTGGTGTTATTTGGGATAAACTGTCCTTCATCATGAAAATTGAGGCGCATTTTAAATCGCTTTATGGGTACACAAACAAAAATTTAAAGGAGAGTTATACACCCTCTTCCAATGTTCCGAATTTGGAATAAATTTTAAGGATGTACACAAAGCAATTAAGAATATATCCCTAGATACTTCGCCAGGTCCAGATGGAGTCCTGTTAAGAACAATAAAAATTCTGGGCATTTCACACATTATTAAAACGATTATGGACATATTTCTGAAATTCGGTAATGTCCCGGAGATTCTTCGTTGAGGGCACACTGTTTTGATTTATAAAGGAAAGTGTAACAATTACGAAATTTCTTCATTGAGATCCACCACAATTTATCCAGTCATTAGGTCTATCATGGAAAAGGTTTTTGACCATGAGCTACGAAAGCAAATCTCTTTTCACGCTAACCAGAGAGGTTTTGTGATTGGACAACAAGATCAACAAGATGATGCAGCTGTCGCGTTTCTGGACGTGATGGAGCGTTCGACAACATTGGCCTTAGCCATATCTTGAGGTCCTTGGGAGCCAAATGTATTTCATCCGACCTGAGAAGGGTAATAGAGAACTTGCTGTGCACTAACATCGTTAGGGCAAACATCGGGGTCAACAAGACCGCACCAATTCATGTGTTGAGAGTTTTACCGTATGGTGGACCACTTTCGCGGGCATTATTCAACGTGATTATTGACTCACTATAGACAGAACTTTGCGATCCGAAAGTTGCAGTGGAATTCAGTTATAAGTTCGCCATGATCCTGTTATGCTTACAGATTACTCAGATGACCAAGCTCACCAAACCGCTTTAACCGCTCACAATGTTGAATCTGCAGAGAGGACAATTAACTGCATTCGGAAAACTCTCGGGTGACGGGATCACCCGTTAATTCTCAAAAAAGTTCTGACATTATATAGAAGAAGAGAAGATTGATTACGTTCTGCTTGGATGCCGGGGAGGAAATAAGACCAGTTGAAGAAGCTGACACCATCAAATATTTTGGATGTCGTTTCTCGGGTGAACTGGAATTTGATGATAATTCTGTGGATAGAATGAGACAAAATATGGAAAAACTAGTTAAGTCGAATCTTCTTGAGCTGGATCAGTAACTTAACATAGTAAACGGGTATGTATTTCCTTCAAGAAAGTTAGGCACTCCCTGAGGGAAAAATCGTTTGAGGATTGGGGCAAATGTAAGTTGCAGGGAATAGGTGTGTACATTTTAAATCAAACCAATGGGCTAACAGGTTTATAGATGACAGAAAGATCCTTACTGGGTGTGGAAACGATCCATCTTCAGAGTATGGTGGAATCAATTATTTTGGATTAGTTGGGAATCCTGCACCATGACATATATTAATTCTGGGCAATTCGTTATGAGCTCTACGGACAGTCCTAAGAAGGAAGAAAGTGAGTTTAACAATAAGAAAATAGACGATAACATTCGGTACTTTGAATGGTAGTCATGCAAAACTCTATCCATTATGTTCTGTCTCATTAAACATAGTCAATTGGGACTGTTGTCGCTGGGTGTTGTAGCAACGCAACATAGTTGAGCAGTTGTACAGTTTTATTGTATCTTTCTCTTATTACTATTTCCTACTGTTTTGTGACATAATCCTCGCGAAAAGATGTAATGTTTTAAATTAATGAATTAGTATTATTTTAAACATTTTTGGCACAAAATATTTTGATCTTATTTTTCTCCAAAAACAATTTTTGAAGTAGTTTATGATAGAAATCATGAGTTATTTATGATGTTCAAGTTGTTTAAATTTTATTTCTGTTGAAAACAAACAATTCTCATAACTAATAATATTTTCAAATTCGTATTTCTAATTAGTTGTTTTGCTCTTGTTATGAATTACTTTTGAGAAGTATAGATTAGAATAGAATTGAATTTATTTGTTAAAGATTATTTTACAATCTTGTACAAATCATACATATATGAATAACTTTATTTCACCTACATGAGTCTAGTTTATCATAACTGTACATTGACTTATTATAAAAACAATAACTAAACAATAATACTTCATTACATTCCAATTAATTTCTATATACATCATCAATAAAACCAAAAAAGAAAAAAAGAAACAAACAATTAATTGAACTGACCAACAATTATCCTTAGTCATAGCACTTGCTTGGTGTGTGGAACATCAGATTTTAAGGAATCCAGTGAATTGCAAGCTGACAGTATGAACCGGTAAATTTTATTAAGTTTCTCTATGTTATCAATTCTAAGTATATCTTTTATCTTGTTTACATCACTTGGCGCAGAAAGAAATGCTCGTAAATGTTTGTGTCTGTCGTCTGTTAGCTTTTCACAGTACAGAAGGATATGGAACAGGCTGTTAGAAATGAATTTGTTGCAGAAAGTGCAGGTTTCTTGGGCTTTGAAGTAGAAACTTTTGTTTTTCGTATAGAGCTTAATTAATTCGGAATTTGAAACCCATAACTGACTTATTGATCTTAGCTTTTTCATGTTAGCTCTATACATCAAATAGGACTCTGGACTGGAAATATTAAAGCTGGAAATAATTCTATATATGGGATTGTTGTTGGAATTTATGGATAAATGGATGTCCTTAGATAGGTTATCGTTTTTTAGCTTTTCCAATATTTCATCGCTGTATTTTAATAATCCAGTTGGGTATACTTTATCGAACTCTTCTTTACAGCCATAATGAGTAGCTATTGATCTGACTTGTGTGATCCAATTAAAGTTTATATCAGGATTCCTTGTATCCAGCAAAATTAATTTGTTGAAGCAAAGCCTTGGTAACCTCTCTTCAGGCATAAGCGACAATTTAGACCAGTAATTTATAATACTTCTCATAACCCTGACACTCAAGGCATTTCGGCCAGTTTCGAGACGTACAATGTAGTTGGCAGTACTCCTTGGCCACCTAAATAGTTGCTTCAGAAACTTCAGCTGTACCACTTCAATAGCATCCAGGTATCTTAAGCTCCATATTTCAGAAGAATACAGAAGGATTTAAGACACCATAGAATCAAAAAGAGCTATTTTTGTCTCCCATGAATCGCTTCTACCCCTTCGCAAAATCTCCAATACAGGACTTCTGTATAAAATGCTCAGATGCCTTACTAAATTTTCCTGAGGAAGTGAAAGGTACTCCTAAGTAAGAGTACCTATAATAGGTTTATCTCTTTAGAGCTAAAGTATATTCTATTAGTGCTCAATAACAAGTTTTTAAACCCATTTACTTTAGATTCTTACCATTTTATGCGAATTCTAAAATTATCTGACGTCTTAGTTTATGGGATGGATCCAGAGGGGCATATATAGAGGGCAAGTGTAAAGAAGAACTGCAAGCTAAGTGGTCAATAGATTCAGATACAACCATTAAATTCATATCTCCAAATATATCTAGGGTGTTATGATTTATCCAGACCAGGTCTATAACACTTCTCTCCAAACTCGATATGAAGGTATGCTGCCCCGGTCTGTCCGAAAGAGAGCGACCATTGCATAAAATGAGACCTGAAGATTCCATTGCTTCCACCAGTAGTTTTCCTCGCTTGTTTATGCTTGAATGAAGAGACAGCCTTTCAGAATAAAGATTTGTCTCCTGCAAAATTTCCTCGTCTAGATTATTTAAATTCCCGTCATGGCTGTTAAAGTCCCCGTTGAAGATCAAACAAGTTGTCCGGAAGTCTGAACATATCAATGAAATAACACCACATAACTTCTCGAGGCATGTTTCTATATCACATACTGGAGAAAAATAAATGTTGCCCACTGTTATCAAGGTACTATCTAGTTTTATACCACCACCTCTTCCCGGTTTAAATGTTTTAACGGCATTGGCGTGGTATGGGGTGTAGTTGTGTAACCATTGTGGGAGTGTAAACTCATCATCGGTAAGCCAAGTTTCGACGAAACACAGTATTGAGTTGTTCGTTAATATTTCGCATTCATAATTGCTTAAATTATATAAATTTTTAAAACCATTAATATTGTAAAAAATAACTTTAAAGCCCTGTTTTTGAAAAATATTTGCTTTTGGGATGATAATAGAAGCTGTAGTACATTTAAGTCAGGAAGATTCCACAGGTGCTGACGGAATTGATGAGCTTCTGGGACGAAACTTGAATTTATAGAGCTTGTCTTCAGTTTTTCTTTTTTTACTATTCTGTGTTTCATTTTCTTTGGATTCTGCTTGTGTAGGTTCGGAAATAGTAATGCTTTCACCTGAAAATTCTTTAATTACATTTTCCTCCTCGTTAAGTCTATAATGCGTACCTCTGATTTTGAACAACCCGTTTTTACAAGATTATATAACACTAATTAATTCCTTCATAATGAAATGTTAGTTGTTTTAGTTTTTTACTTTTAATATCATAATTATTTATATTTTTTTAATATCATTGACAGGATGAGATGTATTGTTATCAAAATTTATTGAATTTTCCTATGATTTGATATTGCAGGAAGTAAATACATGGTATGATATATCAGATTTCACTGAAGATGCTGTTGAAAATACAGAACACATTGAAAAATCAGCCAAAAGGATTATTAACATTGTAAACAATGAGATTTATTCTGGGATCCCAATGAATAGGATTGCTGTTGGTAAGAAATTACTTACTTGTATATTTGTGTGTTTATACAAAAGTATGGATGGATTCAAATTGTGGTCCTGGGATTCTACAAGCTATAATTAAATAATTAAAAATAAAAAAAATGGGGAAAAGCTCAGGCCCTCACCCTCACCCTCTCTCTCTCTCCCTCTCCCTCTCCCTCACTCCCTCTCCCTCTCCCTCCCCCACTTTCTCCCTCTCCCTCTCTCCCTCTCTCTCTCCCTCTCCCTCTCTCTCTCCCTCTCCCTCTCCCTCTCCCTCTCCCTCTCCCTCACCCTGGGGCACTAATAAATAATAAATATATATAATTACATATAAAATAGAATTAGGAAATTATAGACAGAAGTACAATGTGAATAAAAACAAAAATGAAAGAAGTAAAACGTACATAGAAGTAAAATGTAAAAACGGATGATCATACATTGATGTGGAATGTAAATATAAAATTGGAAATAAAAGAGAGATCATACAAATCATAAATACTTAAAAATAATGAGCAATTAAATTAAATTAATCAATAAAAATTAAAAGTAATAAGATGTAGATAAAAAAATTGAAGAAGTAATAAATAAGTTATTTTTCACTTATAAGGATTTAAAATGTGCCTATATGTTAAAGAAATACAGATTTTATCTATTTTATGATTAATACAATTCTGTTCCATGTGAATATAGATGGATTCGGAAATGAGTCTTTTTTCATGATTAGGGACCGTGGCAAGAAAAGAGATTTTTTTCAAAATCAAAGAATCGTTGAGGGTTAAGGCATGTTCTGATAGTTTAGAGGCGGAAGGGTTCCGGGAAGTTATAGATGTTTTGTTTTGGGAAATACGGGTTTTGAAATGGTTTTTGGTTTCGCCAATATAGGAACTAGTACAATTAGGAGTAAACCAGTGTATCCGGTAAACTACATTAGATCAGTTTTGTAAAAGTATGGGATCCTTGAAGTTGGTGAAGAGGAAAGAAAGTTTGTTATGGGAACTTAAGGCCAAGACGTAAGTTGGTTATAGTCGATTTTAGGAATTTTTGTATATTACTTGAAAAACTAATGTAGGAGAATTTAGAAGAATGTAGGTGAATAAAGAAATGTAGGAGAGATTTGTATATGAAAGAAGTGGTAGATGATTGTGGAGAGTTGATAAAAGAGGGGTTTGTACTGTTTTTGGTTGCATGGCTGTTTAAAAGTTTAAGTATAGTGTTGAGAGGGAAATTATTGGAAAGGAGTATATTTTTGACATGCTGAGTGTTGGTTTGGTGTTACTGGGGATCAGATAAAGAGAGAGAGATCGGTGAATAAGGTTTTTGGTGCTATGGATGTTGAGAATAAGTGAAAAATAATATATTTATTACTTATTCAATTTTTTTATCTACATCTTATTATTTTTAATTTTTATTGATTAATTTAATTTAATTGCTTATTATTTTTAAGTATTTCTGCTTTGTATGATCTCTCTTTTATTTCCAATTTTATATTTACATTCCACATCAATGTATGATCATCCGTTTTTACATTTTACTTCTATGTACGTTTTATTTCTTTCATTTTTGTTTTTAATCACATTGTACTTCTATCTATAATTTATCAATGCTCTTTTATACGTAATTGTATATATTTATTATTTATTAGTTCTTAGATATAGTATTTTTTCTTGTATCCATCAATATCTTCAAATTTTAGATACTCTAATATTCTAGGTTTTTTTACTTTCACTTACAAATATATGTCATATATAGTAAGTGTAAGTATTGCAATCATTAAAATTTTTAAATCTGAGTTTTAAACGGAAATAGACGTTTTGGGATACCCTGAGTCCAAATAACCAAGTCCCATTAACCAATTACTATTTCTTTAAAATATAGCTATTTAAATAAGGAAAGTGAAATGAAAACAATGAGAACACACATGTTTGTTTGGGTGTCGGCTGCCGGATTAAGGCGAAGCTTGATGTGCTGTCCCCACTACTCTCACTCACCTGCTTTTATAACGGACACTTTATTGTAATTTTTGTTAAGATCAATGAAGATAAAACAGTATTGTTGACTCTATGGAATTTTCTGGATGCTATATTAAATATATGTGAAGATTTTTTAACCAGAATGTCTATGGATAAATATTAGATAAATATATATAGAGAGAGAAGCGCACGATCGAGGTCTTAATTGAGATTCTCTAAGACTCTCTCGTCTTCACTCACTAAAAAGAATTTTAGTGATGTTTCTAGTGGTAAAATTTATACCTTTATTCACAGTTCTATATTTCAACACTGCAATCACCTACTCCGGAATAAACTTTCTCACTGTCTGTATAGATAACTTTTTCAACTAGAAATATCACTAAAATCACATTACTAAAAAATGTTGAAATTGGAGTTAGTCATTCTGTCAATTGAAAGGCTCAGAGACTGAAGTGTTGTTTATAAAAGTAGATGGAGTGACTAGATTTATATTGCCTACCATCGATATTAAATATAGATTTTGATTAAACTCGGTGTATCATTGTATAATTTTTTTTTTGTATAGCCTCTCCTTACAAGTATTTTACCTGTAGGCCTCCCCTAATTAACTGGGTAATGGTCTAACTTCCCGGCGGGGACCAGCCGTATTGGCAAGTAGGGCCGGGATTCGATCTTATGATCTTTGCTTTACTAGTATAGCGAGCCAACCACTCTGCTATACCGGCCCCGGTATTGGTATTTATATAATTAAGTGTTCTTTAATATCATTTAGGTCTTATCCCTATTAATGTCACTTTACAGGGCTTAAATGCCCAATGTTCATATAAGTCTTCCTCTAAAGTACCTTTAATATGGTTTGTTTTATATAATTAACTATCTCTTCTTATTAAGAGTTATGAAAAAATGCTAAATATAACTTTTGAAAAAAGTTGATAATTGAATAAAGGAGAAAAAAATAAAAATGTTTACCCTGGTTGAAAATGAATCTCCGGAAATACTAGTCAGGAGGTATACCTGTAATCCTATAATACAAAGTTTACAATAAAACTTAGAAAGCAGAGAACTTTAGAAAAAAACAATATCTAATATTGAAAGTTGTAGAAGTTAATGGAGAGTGGCGAAAAAATTAAAAATAATACTCTTTGAAAACTTATATTATTTAACGTAAATCACATATTTTCAAGGAAATCATATGAAATTAACGAATGAAATTGAAAATATATTTCAGTTTGAAAAATTATTTAAAATCCACCTAATCAAGGCAATGACATTGTTTAAAAAACTATTTCATTGTTCTTGTGTGAAAGAAGAAGAATATGTTTAATCATGGATATGTTTAAACCTTTAAATATATTTACTGTAGTTTAATAACTCTAGATCTGTTATTATATTTAAATAATTAGGTATCTATCGTCAGTATCAGTATCGTCAGTAAATCATCATGTAACCTTTTAAAAAATTAAATTAGTGAATAATTTGATGGATGTTTCTTTGTGATATTTCAACAATATCCACTTACAATTAGAGTGAAACCTTCTTGACATGTTTATGACAGACAATGCAAATTTCTTGATTCCCTTTTAGTAAACTTCACTATTGAAAATAACAGTTTAATAACTAATAGTAGTACAATCCAAAGTCAACCGGTGATATAATAAATAGGCCTTTTGTTATTTTAATGGTATTTATGATTTGTTAGCTGTAAGCTTTTACATTTAGCTTGGTTCAAAATGCAATTCAAACATTTTATAATAGCCCAACATGGCCAGAAAATAATTTCTATTCAAAATTGAGCGGTAAATGAAAGTTGTGTGTTGCGCTCAACAGATTTTTATTCTTGTATTTTTATTTTTATTTATTTTATTTTATTTACTTATTTATTTATATTTTTATTTTCTTTCTTCACATCCCTTTATGTCCATTATTTCATATTATTTTTCATCTTCTTCTAATTTCTCCTTGTGTTCCGTAGGATTATATTCATAATTGCATATATTATATTATACATTATACTACAACAATGGTTACCATCTAGATAGATAGATAGAAAAATAATTTTATTCTGGGACACAGTCCCTTGAGAATAACAAAATAGAACAAAATTAAAAGATCACATCTGGCCAAAATGAAATCAATCAAAAAAAAGAAATAATGTAAAAAAAATACAAGGTAAACATTCTATATACAAAAAACGAAACTATATTAATACACTAATAAACTATAATTAATACTATGACAAGGCACTTAAAGCTATTTGCACTGATAGACTCGTATACACTTTTGAGAAAATAATAAAGAATTAAAATTAAAAATGTATCAATGAATTGGATGTATCAAATTCTCTATTAAAATCAGCTCGAATGGTTAGCAACTATCTGACTGTTCTTGGGATAGGAATTGGAATAGGAGGGTTTTGAATTTGGATATGGATGGGGAATGTTGAATTTTGATAGGGAGGGAATTCCAGAAATTGACAGAGCGAACAATAAAGGAATTTTGGAATGAGGCAGATCTGTGAGAAGGCATGTAAAGGCTAGAAGGTCGAGATCTTGTGGACAGGGAATGGACTGAGGATTTGAACTGGAAGAGGTTGTAGGCGTAAGAAGGACGATGGCTGTTAATGATTTGGTAGAGGAACGTACCTAGGAAATATTGTCTTCGGAAGGAGGGGAAAAGCCACTTTAACTCAGCGTAGTGGTGAGAAACATGGGATTATCTTGGGGCCCCGATCACAAATCTTATGCAGCTGTTCATTAGTCTTTTCAGTCTATCACGGAGCTCCACAGAGGGGCCATCATACACCACACAGTTATAGTCAAAGTGGGGGAAAATGAGAGAGGAAACTAGGAGTCTATGCGTATGTTGGGGTAGGAGATGGCAGAAGCGATGGAATAGTTTGAGGGTGGAAATTGTCCGTCGAGAGATTTGAGAAATATGGTGATTCCAAAGGAGGTTTTGATCAATGAAAAATCCTAAATTTTTAACATAGGAGTAGAAGGAGATTGGCTGGTCATTAAGGTGAAGGATGGGAAAGTCTGGATGGGATCTAAGAAGGGGCTTGGAAGCAATGACAATGGCCTGAGTTTTGGCGGCATTTAACCTTAATCCATTTACATTTGCCCAGGCACTGATTCGATCTAGGTCTTCTTGAATCTTGGCAAATGCCCCCAGTAACTCAGGAGGGGAAAATGATAGGTAGATCTGTGAATTGTCTGCATAAAGGTGATGGGAACAATGGAGAATTGATTTAGGTAGGTCATTAATGTAGGAGCTGAAAAGGAGATGGGATATGCTTGAACCCTGGGCAACTCCAGAGGATAAAGAAAGGAAGGCAGATAGTGGTTGGTTGGGTATGGAGACTGCTTGGGTACGTTGTGAGAGGAAAGATTGAAACCAAGAGATGGAACTATTGGAGAAGGATAATAATTTCAGTTTGTTGAAAAGGATGGAATGGTTAATGGAATCGAAGGCTTTGGAGAAGTCGAGAAGGATAAGGATGGTTAACTTTTTATCATCTATTGCAGTTTGAATGTCGCTGGTGATTTTAATTGAGGCGGATTGTGTGGAGTAGCTGGGACGGAAACCAGATTGGAGAGGATCAAGTTGGTTGGACTTTTCGAGGAAGTTGGAGACTTGAGATTGCACCAATCTTTCTAGGGGTTTTGAGAGGTTGGAAAGAATTTAGATTGGGCGGAAATCTTCGGGTGAGGTCGGATTAGAATTTTTATTCAAAGGAAGGACAATGGCTTTTTTCCAAGATGTAGGGAATACTGAATTCTGAAGGGAGAAATTGTAGATGAAAAGAAGGACTGGGAGGATTTCAAGAAGACATAATTTTATTAGTTTGACAGGGATGCCGTCAGGTCCTATGGAATTGGTGTGGGATTTCATTACAGCGGTTAAAAGGTCTGTAGGGGAAATGTCGGAAAAATAAAAGTTATTGTCGTTAAATGGTATCTCTATAGGAAAGTCGGAACAGGAAGATAAAGGAGAGGTATTAGCAACAGATATAAAATGCGAGTTTAGATCATCAGGGGATATTGGAAAGGCTGGGGTAGGGGATCGGGAAGGACCACAAAGGGAGAGTTTACGAAGCAGTCGCCATTTTGATTTTATGTCAGGAGTTGAAGAAAGGGCTTCGTGGAAGTAGAGGGACTTCGCACGCCGGATCCTTGTTTGTGTCAAGTTGCGAAGCACCCTGAACGCTTGGTAGTCATCTGCTAGCCTAGTACGTCTGAAGCGTCTACGAGCAGCGTCGCGCCTCTTCTGCAGGTCTTTAATTTCCTGGCACATCCAAGGACCAGGCCGGTGACGAAATGTAGAGGTTTTGAGAGGGGCATGGGTATTGAGGATATTGAGGAGATTGGTAGTAAGAATATCGACCATAGAGTCGATAGAAGTGCAAGAATATATTTTATTCCAATCTAGAATTTCCAGGTAAGATAATATTTGTTCTCGTGTAAGGGAATCTAGATGGCGGAAGGTGATAGTTCGAGGCTAAATAGGAGGAGTTTGGATATTATATGTTATTAGTATCAGATCGTGAGATGACAAAAAGGATACTGGCAGTTGTGAAGAGGAGAGGAGGTTTTGTGCAGAGTCTACAATATAGAAATCTAGCCAAGTGTCGGACCTGCTAGTATGGTGAGTGGGAAGAAAAGGAACGATAAAGAGGTGAAGGGAGAAGAATAGGTCTTCTAGATTGGATTTGTCATTAGAGTTAAATAGGAAATTGGTATTGAGGTCACCTGAAATGATTATTCTGGGATAGAGGGGAACGAAATTCAATAGGGTAGATTCAAAGGACGTGTGAAATGGAACAAGAGGAGGACGGTATGCCACAGCGTAGAGGAGAGGAGAAGTATTACAAAGGATTTCAACTAATAGGTATTTAATTTGTGGGTGGTTGGAAGATGGGGATAAATCGAGGATTCGGGTCTTCTGGCTATTGTGGACAAATATGGCTACTCCACCGCCAGTCCGGCTTACCTGGTCATGACGGAAGAGGTTGTAACTAGGCAGGGAGACTGAAGAGGATGGGATATAAGGTTTGAGCCAAGTTTCGGAGATAGCTATAATATGGTAAAAATTTTGAGTGAAATATTGCAGGAATTCGTCATAGTGGGTGGGGAGTGATTGAGAGTTAACATGGCAGGTGATTAGGGTACTAGACATGAGAAGTATTTGGAAGGAGACAGTCAGAGTTCGGTAGAGAAACACTAAAACAAATAAAAAATACAGAAAAGCTATTACAATTAATGAAAATGAGAAAAAAGAAAGTGTTTAAAGAAACAAAAAATAGAAAGCATATAGTAAATAATACATAGGCTAATATTTGGAAGTGAAGAAATACAACTAAAAGCGAAAATCTTTCTTCGAAGTAAATTTTGTCAGTAGTTATTTTGATAAGGATGGAGGGTAGACGAATTCTGTGTAGTGAGGTAAATATATCGAGGTCCGAGGCCTGTTCAATCATGATAACCTTATGCCCGTCCTCTTTTCGACATCGCACCTTTCCAGCGGCAAACCAGCAATATTTGATTTTCCCCGCTGCTTTCTTCTGTCGGGTAAGCCAGTATACTTCTTGTATAATTCTTCTTGAACAAGTATATTACACTTTAATTTTTTTTTAATGAGTATTTTATTTTATTTAATCTTTATTTGTTTTGAGAGAAGAACCTCATACAAATAGATTCCATCTCTGTGTTATAAACATTATAACAATATATTTTTTCTTTTTTATGCTAAATTATAAATATTATAAAAGAGTTAAGTATAACTTGCAAATCATATTTCGTAAAACATCAAACAGTTAAAATAATGTCAATTATGAACATCAATATAAAATCTTTAATTATGAATTAATTAATAATATACTAAATACATTTTATCTTTTAAATATTAATATTAAATCATATTTTAAAATTATGTCCAAGCCCTATACGTCGATTTCATGCTGTGTACAGGAACTGTCTTTAGAAAATCATGACTGAACTGAGAGTTCCCAGTAAGTTGGTGACATTGACAAAGGCGTGTATGAATGACCCTAAATGCAGAGTCCTAATACAAGGAGAAGTATCTGAAGCCTTCAAAGTTCAAATAGGCTTATGGCAGGGAAATGGATTGTCACCAATGTTGTTCAACTTAGCCCTGGAGTAGGTGATAAGAACAGCATCATGGAAAAATGGAGGGGTCCACATCAGAATGAATCATAAAATCCTTGAATACACAGATGATATGCCTGTCCTAGGAAGTAATCAAGAAAACATCGAGGAATTCGCTAAGACTCTGATAAAAGAGGCAGAGCAAATCGACCTACAAGTAAATGAAGAAAAACAAAATATATGATAAGCCTGAAATTCCACCCCCAATAACAGAATCTGCATAGAAGGAAAATCATTCCTGAAAGTAGAAAAATTCTAATACCTCGGCTCCTCAATAACCACAATGACCAATGCGCAGAAATAGACCAGCGTATAACTAGCGCAAACAGAGCTTTCTTCTCCCTCTCAAACACATTGAAATCCCAAAAAATTTTAAGAAATCTCTTGATTTCTTGATCTCATCCCGGAGCAATCTGGGATCAGCGTACTAACACGTGGAGAAGAAAGATCAATGAAGAACTGCTTACACAAACTGGTCAATCAATATCTCATGATATGAAGGCATGGAAGTTAAGATGGGCGGGGCATGTAGCAATCCATCTGGTACCAAGATGGATAGATAGAATCAACAAACTGGCAATAGAGCTGCATGCAGATAACTGGAAATAAATAGCCCAAGAAAGGTAGAAATGGAGCAAACTTGCTAAGGTGGTGAAAGATCTTACATGATGTGTAATGCTAACAGAAAAAAAAACTAAAATTAAATTAACAGTTTATTCGCATATACAAAGGAAACAAGGCCAGAGCATATTACATGCCGAAATCTAATCTACATTTTTGCTAAAATATTCAAAGGACAATATTTGTACAAGACAAATATTTGTACAAGTATATTATACTGTTTTTTCAGCAAACTAATAGCGAGAAAAAAAGGCCTTTTCTTAGGTCAACTATAATGTTAAAGGTTTTTTTTTTTTTTTAATAACTCTGATTGGAAGTATATTTGACTATAAGAATACTGTGACCTATCTCTGCTTATAAGTTTGTGTCTGCCTTTTATTAATGACTGCCAATTAAATTTATGGGTAGCTCTGCAAACATAAATGCCTTCAGTTTTCCAGATTTATTGACAGTCATTATTGCTATTTCATCCTTTGCGTTGTAGCGTATTGTAAAGATGTGTTATTAATATTGTAGGATGTTATAAAACCTAAACCCTTCCTTAATAAATTATTTCAATATAAGATTGAGATAAATTATCTCAAAGAACTCTTCAAATCAGATTGATAGTCATTGAAATTACAATGTTAGAGCAAATGAACTCTTCAGTTTTATACATTAAGATAAATTGTAATTTTTTTCTTTTTCTAATAAGTCATTCATTCTTGTTCTCTTGTATGTGTCGTTATAGCTAACTCTTAGTTTATCAATGAGACGCTTTCTATTTGCCTTGCTTCCATCAACCTTTCATGATATAATTTCAATTTTTTATCACCTCTTTATGAACAAAATACTAAAAAAGTGTCTATGTAAATATCTGAGTAATAATATAGTTCATAATAGTAGTATATCGTCTTAAAAATATATAAATCAATTTTTTAAAAGTTATAGATTATATTAAGGCATTTCAAATACTTCTATTCTTAATTGTTTTTATATTGTAATTATATAACGAAAATGAGCATTTTAGGAAAATGAAACATTAATATATTTTTTTCTAATATCTTTCATATTTTATCAGTCAACATGGTGCTAGCTGGATCCCAAATCTAGATTTATGAAACTTATTTAAATTTTGTGGGAAACAATTTTTTGACATTAATTATGAATTTGTATCAATTTCTTATGAAAAAAAGTCTTGGCCACTGTTGGGATAAGATTATATTTATATGGTACAATTTCAAGTGTAAGATATAAGCATATTTCTTGTAGCTGGATTCTCAAGGGGAGGTGCAATGAGTTATTACATTGGATATTCCTACTTAGAAGGTTTGGCAGGTGTAGGGGTGATCTCTTCTTGGCTTCCAAAGACATCGTCAATTTATGAGGTTTGGATTCATTTAATAATTAATTCAAAATATTATAAAATTTAAAATATAAGAATAAAATGGACTTTTTAAAAATTATATGTATTTATTTCTATGAAACATTATCAAAATATAGTTGTATATTTATTTACTGAATATGAAAATCCTTTACAATTGAGTTTAAGAAAAAGTAATTTTGTTTTATCCTAATAGGTGACTTTAAAGGCTCTAATCTCATATAATCCTTATTTAATAAAGCCATTCTATAAGGTCACAGTCCATAAAATACTTTATCTATAACAAAGAATCATTAATTTATTCATTCAACAGTTATTACACTTTAAAAATTGAGGTTCCAGAGGTCATTTCCGTCATATTTTGTTGTTTTATTTCCAAAAAGGAGAAATTGCAGTGCAGGTTCATCGAAAATTGTATGCTGTTTATGGTAATGAGTGCTTAAGTGAACATCAGTGCCAGAATTGGTTTGCTTGTTTTTGTTCCGTAAATTTTTATATTAAAGATGAATTTTGCTCTGGTCTGCCAGTTGTTAAAAATGTTGATGAAATTCTTCCAAAATTGAGGTAGACCTACATATTTCATCTCACGACATCGCTACAGAACTAAATATCAATCAGAAAACAGTTTTTAATCCTTTAGTTAAGGCTGTATACCAAAAGGAGCTTGATACTTGGTTCTACATGAATTAACAGTGAAAAATTTAATGAACGAAGTTTCCATTTGTGAGTCGCTGCTACAACAAAATGAAATCGATACATTCTTGAAATGAATAATGAAAAGTGGATCACATAAGACAATAATATGTGAAGAAGATTGTGGTAAAAGCACGGAGAAGCTTCACAAACACTGGCAAAGCCTGGATTGAAGCCAAGGAAGATGATGCTGAGTATTGGGTGGGATTGAAAAGGAATTGTTCATCATGAGCTTCTCAAACAGTTCAAACCATTAATTCATCTCTCTACTATGAACAACTAGTGCAATTGAAAGCAGGTGATTCAAGAAAAACGGCCAGAATGGATCAATAGGAAAGGCATTGTCTTCCATCATGACAACGCTAGACCAGCAGACATCTTTAATGGCCCAGCAAAGATTGTGAGAGCTTGTCTGGGAAATATTGATAGTTGGCATGAAAGAAGAGGATTGTGCAAATCACTTGGTTCAGTATTTTGTCGAGAAATCACAGGACTTCTACAGTGACGGACTTATGGTTTTACCAGAAAAGTGGCAAAAGCACATCAATCAAAACAGCACAAATATCGTTATTAGCATTTGAAATTCATATAAATAAATTTGCTTTGAAAAACTTGATAAAAAAACTAAATTGCTTTTTCCTCAGCCCAATATATATTTTTTTTCATTGATACTTTTTGATTTTATAAGTTCATGATAACTTATACATCTCAAATAATGACAAGTATAATCAAATATCTACTCATTTCATCTATCAAGCTGCTTAAGTATACAATTTCATTAAATAATCTATATTTATATAATAAATGTTGCTCATATACTGTAGATAGCAAAAATAATTATTTAGATCAATTAATCAATTAATAAAATTTATAATTTCGAGGAAAATCACTTTCAACTCAATCACGTTAATTGTTTTTAATTATAGTATTGAGTATAAAATTAAATTTATAAAAAATCTGAACATTTTGTCTTTTCAGAAATTAAAGAAACCCAGTGGAAATCTTTCTCCACTCTTCCAGGCTCATGGAGATCTGGACTGCTTAGTGAAACCTAAACTTGCGGAAGATACAGTGAATATTTTTGAGACAGCTGGGGTCAAGACTCAGTTCAAAAAATACCCAACCATTGGCCACGAATTTGATCGGAGTGTTCTGGATGATCTGTATCTCTTCCTTTACAATGTTATTCCTGATGAGTAGACTCAATCATTATACACAGAGAGCTACTTTATTTTTATTGATGTATGTAAACATATATATATATATATATATATATATATATATATATATGTGTGGGTGTGTGTGTGTGTTTATCTGCATATGTGTATGTATGTTAACTGTGTTCAGAATCGATCAATTTGCTATATGATACATTTAAATGTATTGAATGTTCTTATTGTGATTAAAGTTTTAATATATCACCATCTATTTACAAGCTCTTCTATCAGGGCTTTGTATAAAAAATATGATGTGTTTTGGATTTCATTCAATGTGCTCAATCTTTATAAGAAACCTCTATATCTTGATAACTTTTTATTAACGTGATAATGAGAAGAGTTAAAAAGAGAAAAAAAGGAACTATATTTGCAATTATAAAAATATTTGATAATGAATATATATCATTAGCTAAGACTCTATGAGAGATCTTATAGAAAAGTAATTATTTTTTTGAGAACAATGTAACTTTGAACAAACCCACCTAACTATTAAACTATCTTTGATGAATAATAGTTATTTTGTTAATCTTGGTAATTATATTGTTAAAAACAAATAATAGATAATTGTTTTTTAAAATGTTTTTCAATAGAAAACAATTTTTGGAGATGTGACTGAATTCTTAATTAGAGTAATCTAAGAATAATTTATTGTATTCGAAAATATTTGTAGTGCCACTTAATTGATAAAATGTATAATAGGTGTATGACTGATTCATAAAAAAATTATTTTCATTGATTTATGATTGACAATAATTGTATATTTTTTCACATCACTATTAAAGAGACTGTCCATGTTTTATTTTATGTTATTTTGTTTTGTTCTTTGTAAACTATATATACCTCCTTAGTGAAAATTATTTGATTGTAAACTGTCGAAAGTATTATTTATTTGTTTAATGCAGTTAGCTATGTTTGATATGTTCTTCCATTTTGTACTACTAAAAACTTGTAGGCTTACTTTGTTTACTTTCTGAGTTATACGTAACTGTTTTGTTGAGGATGCTGAGCCATCTCTATAGAACTCCATTGTATTGTTGTCCTATTCTATTTTTGAGATTTTCAAATTCTGGATATGTTGAATCCCCATTTGATAATAACTTGTAATGTGTTTGCCTAACAACAACAAAAAAAGTGTTTCTTTTTTACTATTTCATAGAAACACAATTGAATCTAAGTTTTCAGTTTGGAATTTCAAACTAATTTTGTATTATTAAATGTTTTATTGTTGAATGAAAAGGTTGGATTTGTCTGTATAATTACTAATGGTTTGTCACAATGAAGTGGTTATAACTTACATTTGTTAAAATCTTTTTTGAATTCCAGTGAAAAGGTGGGAACTAAGTTTTTTTTTTTTTTAATTATTCAGTATCCTGGATAAACATAGTCGACTGTATATAAATCAAAATGTATATTTTAGATTTTAATTGTTTTATTTATTTTCTTTTTTCAGATGATTCATTAAGTTTTTTTAACATAAATAATTGAATCATACTAAATTTCTGAAGAGTGCCGAGTTTATGAATGTACTTTTAAATAATGGGCTGTATTATGATTGAAACAAGTATGAGCCTATAACTAAAGAAATATACCATCATTTTTGAAGTAACTTGATGCATCTCAATTTTCTAACTTTCCACAAGAATAAAAAAAACTAGTCAATATTTATTTATAACTATAAAATATATGTATTTTATTTGGATTCATTATATTAATTTAAATTGTGTTAAATTAATATTTCTTTAGGATGTTTTGAATAAAATGATGTGTATATCTTGATTTCTACAGCTATGATATATTAATGATCTCATTTATTAACAAAAGTAATTCTTTTTCAAATATAAATTTCATAAATCTCCATAATAATATTTATGATTTTCCATCTAGTAAATTATGATTTATGTGGTTTAGCTTTCTATTAAAATTAAATAAATATTAAAAGTAATCTCACCTTAGTTGAAAACTAATAATTCGATACAGCAAAACAGTATGCTGTTTACTGTATTTAGAGTATATTGTAATTAATCATACCTATTCATTCATTAATTTGTTTATTAAGGTTTTGGAATGGGATATTGTTCTCTTTAATCAAAATTATGATGTTTCGGCTAATCTGCATTATCAAAATTATTAAACTGTTGTTGTAATTTTGGGAATGATATGTATACTATAATATTTTTTTTAGTTTCTTCATGAATGCAATAATGTTTTCTCCAAGTTTACTAACAAATAATTTTGTCTCTAAGATGATTAAAACATAGTTCTAAAAAATGACATTTTCATTTAAATGACTGATGTTTATATTTTATTTAACTGACTTTGTGATAAGGAATACATACAATGTAAGTCAACCGCTCGCTTAGTGAAGAATTTAGTTGTAACTGTTAGTGATAAGGTAGTTATAGTTGTGGTTACTAAAAAAAAAATTTAAATGATGATAATAATCATTACTCATATAAATCTGATGGTCAATTTTATATATATTCTACTTCGATTATTTTCCCTATAAAAAGATTTAAAATATTTGAGAGAATTTCAACATGAATATATATTATGAGTTGACAAAAGTCAACTTGTTTTTCTGATGTTTCACTTGTTTCTATATCTTTAAATAAATGTTTCATTGTTTAGATTTTATGAAAGGGTTATCAACCTATCTGTATTAAATGGAAGCTTTAAATGTTAAAAAATTATAAAACATCTAATATTATGGAGTTATATGTTTAAATTAGAATATATAATTACATGTTTGATGTTATGTGTATTGATGTATCTATTTGTTATTATTATGTACTTCATTTGAAGCTTTTATCTTTTGTGATTCTCATTCAGAATTATACTTATACCTTACATTATTTTTAAAATAAAAGTTTATTTATTGATTCTACATAAGTTTTTGTCTTGATCTTGCACTGTCTAAAATTATAATAACCATTTAGATAACTACGAGAGATCAGTTATATTTTAGAATATTTAATCGTAATAGTCACCAAAGTTATTATTGATGTAAGATGAACCAGAAATGAGATTTAGAAAAGATTATACATTTAAAAAGCAGTGATAACAGTAATTTTAATAAGGTGTAATAATATCTAGTTACTATGTCATTCCTCACAAAAGAATAATATTTGTGAGTTCTGCTTGAATTCTACATATTTAGATATTTTCTTGTCCCTACTCATTTTGGTGGCTTTAAATAAGTAATATTGAAAATAAAAAAAAAATTTTAAAGAGCTTGGCTCTGTTTGAAACCTTTTATACTGACAAAATACCTTTAATCCATTCTAATTTACATTCCCACATTCCCATACCTTGGATTTGGCTTTTGTGCTTGGAAGTGAGGATCAAAGACTCCCTTGTATAGATTAAAATATGTGGGAAAGTATTTTTGAATACAACCTTCTAAGTGGCTTTTGAGACTTCATTTTTTGTCCAGGAAGCCTGTCTTAAGGGAGTGAAATCATCTTCCAGCCGTTTTGATCCTTTCCTTTATCATCCCATCCTTACTCGTTGAGATGAGCACTGTGATATTTAAAATCCATAACTTGTTCCAGATGGACTCCCCCAACCAAATGATCCGGTCCCCTCGTAAATGAAATAAATTTTGTTTGAACGATGTTTATTGACATGTTGCCCTCCAGGAGCCCAGCGAAGCCTATCTCGTAGGTCTCTTCGAGGATACCAACTTGTGCGTCATCCAGGCCAAGAGGGTGACGATTATGCCTAAGGATATCCAGCTGGCTCGCCGTATCCGCGGAGAACGAGCCTAAGGGCTGTCCGCACCCTGCCGTACTTTCAACGGCCCTTTTCAGGGCCACCAAATGTGCACTAATCCCTTTCTGATGGAAAATCTGTGGAATTAGAGACTCCACATCTATATAATCAATATTAGAATATATTTTATCCAACTCCTTTAGTCCCATGAATACAAGGACGAAAAAACAAATCATTTAAATAACCTACAAAATAATATAAGAGTGCAGCAAGAAACGTTAGTAACATTTGGCGTAATCTAAAAGAAGGAAGCGACCCGTGTCATATCTCTCCGAATCAATTCGAGAAGTTACTCTTGAATAATACATATAACATATAAGTCGATCCTGATATGGATTTAATCCGAAAGTTACAAAAAGTCGAGGCCCGTGGGGCCCAATCTCAAATTGGATATCATTTTCATAAAAAGCGCCCCCCAAAACATAAGAGTTAATCCTGTTATCGATTTAATCCGAAAAGTTACAAAAAGTCGAGGCCCGGGGGTCCCAATCTCAAATCGGATATCATTATCATAAAAAGCGCCCCCCCCCCCAAATCATTATAGTCGACCCAGTTATCGAATAAATCCGAAAGGTGACAAAAAAAATTAGATTAAATTAAATAAAAACTTTTTTTTTTTCAATTTTGCTCATGGCGTTAAAATGCTTCATGAGTAATTTACTCATGGAGATAACATTTTTCACGAGCGATATACTCATGGACGAAAAATGTTTCATGAGTAATTTTCAAATTTACTCATGGCTAATCTTCTAAGACTGATCACTTGTGACGTCACCGCTGGACATTTTCTCGAGTAAATGCCCTAATAGTAAATACGTAATAGTCGACCCATATATCGATTAAATCAAAAAAGTTACATAAAGTCGGTGCCCGGGGGCACTATCTAAAATCCGACATTTTTTTTATAAAAAGCCTCCCCCCCAAACGTAATAGTCGACCTATATTTCGATTAAATCAAAAAAGTTACATAAAGTCGGTGCCCGGGGGGCACTATCTAAAATCTGAGTAAGGGCAGCGTGGCGCTGACAAGCCATTGACCCCCACCTTACTTCTCCGAGATGTCGACATCGGCGCCTCAAGTAGATGACCACATGGAAGAAGTTGACGAAAACTCCGATGACCCCCGTGGAGGGAAGCGAACACTAGAGGCTGATGGGTTCGTCCCAGTACCGAAACGCCTCCAATTTCCCCCTCGTGCAGCCCAAGAACCACCGAAGATCCAGGTCGCCAACAGATTTGCCGCCCTGACAGACACACAGCCGCCGAAACCCATTTTACCGCCGCCTATCATAATCTCTCCTCCTATTGCACAGCGTTAAGGAACATACTGAAGCAGCGAGGAGTCACCAAATTCTCAGTGAATTCCTCGCCTAAAGAAACCAGGCTGTATCTAAATAATGAAAAGGATCATTATGCAGCGACCCTCGTGCTGAGAGAGGACCAAGCGGTCCAATTTCACAACTTTGCGCCACGTGGAACAAAGCGTTCAAGAAAATATGTCTTGTACGGGTTCGACATTGACTTCCCCGTACAATGCATAGATGAAGAATTAAAGGAACGTCTACCGGGCTATAAGATAGCCCGAAGACTGACAAGAAAACAAGGATCGGAACCCTCTCGGCTTACAGAGCTGATCCAAATAATAACCGAGGACCACGTTAAGATTACACAGCTGGAGAGTCTAGCCACGGCCGGCAACGAGTATACATCGGGTCTTAGTTGTTCTCATTTTTCATTAGTTCTTTTCCGTCTAATTTAGTTCAAAATTTACACGGTTGTAGTTCTGTCTGTTAGCAACACATTTCTCAAATATCGTTAAAATTCACCGAGCATTTTCGATAGGAGAAAATTGTAAAGAAATTAGCCTGCTGCGAGGACTGGGCTGCTTATCAATGGACTGAACTGAACCTGCAAACTCCCACCACACCCGGGAGTTCCAGCTGTAGAAGGTCAGTGCCACAGTAAATCTTATCAAATCACTTCCGAACACTTACTTATATTTTTCATAATAATGTGTTCCAACGACGATATAATGAGAGCTATTAATGAAATGAAAATATCCCTCGAGACTAATAATTCTCTCATGGGTGATGTATTAAAAGAATGTGATCGGTTAAAGAATACCTGCCAAGATCTAGAGTAAAAGAATTCTAAACTCGAAAAAGAAATTAATTTTTTAAAACGGCAGATAAAAAAGAACAATTTTTTGATCAATAGCATCCCTTTCAGTGAAAATGAAAATATACTCGATAAAGTTATAGACAGCTTCACGGAGTGTAATATAACGATCCCAGATTATGCAGTTAACACCTGTTATTGACTTCGGAAAGGCCCAATATTGGTGTCACTAGTTCATAGCTCCATTACTTCAGGAACAAGTATTGTATATGTCAACCGATACTGGCTTTTTGTCAACATTAAAATTAATAACAAATTATTAACTATTGGAAACATTTACTTGCCTCCTGTATGTGATATGGATACAAATACTGGAAGATTTATGTAATACTATTATGGAATTACTACTCAATTATTCAGACACTTGCTTGTTTATCAATGGTGACTTACAGTCATGTAGGTGACCTAAATTTCTTGAATGAAGAAATGTTGTACAATTCAAATCTATACGCTACAAGGACAAACAGCCATAAACATGTTAACAGGCGAGGAAAACAATTAGTGGAAGCGATGGAATCATTAGGTCTCACACTATGTAACGGCAGGAACCTCTCTGACAGACCTGGAAAGTTTACATTTATTTCTAATGTTGGTAAAAGCACTATCTAGTGTGGATCAACGATGTGGCACTCGAGATTTTAGGTGATATGGAAGTTATAGCCATGTCTGATTTTCTGGACCATTTAGCTTGTGCTACTACCGTGAAACCACATGTAAGCTTACCGAATTCTCGAACGTTTAATTATATTG